ACTGTTTTCAATGAAAGCTTCCTATTACAATAGTTGAAGAGGTCTTCCAAGCTCGGTCCAAGAAGGTCTATGACCATTACATTGTACTCGCCTTCGACTCCAAACCATTTAAGGTTGGGAATTCCAGCTACATCAGAATGGCATAAATAAGAAGATCAATCAAAACATATAGCATTCTCATTCTAAAATCTTTTTGCAAAGAGGGCTACTTAAGTGAGGGAGAAACGCTTACTTCCTCCCGAGAGAAGCATATATATTTTTGATTCATAGTGCAGTTGAGGGTGCTTTGTCTTGACAGATTCCTGATATTACAGTACCAAGAGAATGAATTCATGAACATATAGTGAGAATAGTACTGTTGCATCAACCATTAGAGTCTTCAACTCCCATCAAAATAAAAGTCATTTACATATGCTCGGCATTTATTTTTTTATCAAGTAAAATTTATTGATGTGAGACAGTACAAAAACTGGTTAGATGGATATTTGCTCGTCAAATATTTAAGCTAATAAACAATAGACCTAGTCTTGCTTTCAATTTCCAAGAGCATCACGAAAGACAAAAATAGTTTTTTTCTCCACAGGTTATGATACCACCGAACGCAGAAGCTGACTGTCAGGTATGATTGCTGCTTTCCGAACTCTTCAATATTTTCGTCTTTTCTGGTGAAAATGCTTAGATATTAATCCAAGGAAAAAAGAGCATTTTCTAAGCATCCAAAGGTGCAACATAGTTGTCAATGAAGTGGATGCAAAAAATGGGATTAAAATCCCAGTGATGACAAAAAAAAATGCTAGGTGATTCTTTCAATCTGTCCAAGCCTTGGTGAGAGAGTTACTCGGTCCCTATGTTGATAGGGGTAACAGACACCCGGTAGAGAAATCGATGTGCGCAAAAGTGAGGTTAGCAAAAAAAATAGGAACCCTTAAGTATTGTCGTTACATTTCTACTTGACAAGAAAAACCAGTTCTAGAAAATTAAGTCATATACATATACTTTGTGATTTCCGAAGTTACAAATGTTTCTATTCAACACATATTAATAGATCATTCAACCAAAATAGAACAATTATGCTTGCTCTCATGCTTAATATTACTAGAGAAATCTAACAACAGATATACAACTTAAAATAATGTGATTACCTAGGTAATTATGGTAACAAGGATTTTCCAATCCACCCAACCCATTATATCTGAATAGACTAAAAAGGATACCATGACAAAAACTCTAATGATAATAAAGATGAGCTAAACATCAAGTTAACAATAAATGCATTAGACATAACACAAACATAATAAACAACATAGCAGCACAACTTCCCCAGCCAGTCAGTCAGTCGTTCAACTACGCCTCAATTACAACTAGTTAGGATTGATTGAATACGTGAATCCTCATTCATTCCCGTCTTCTATTCTGGTCCATTTCATTCCAAAACGAAATAATTTCTTATTTCAAGACAAATCTTAACGTTCTTAAAAACACGAGGTCTCCAAAACTCACACTCATTTCTACAGTGATTTTTCATGAAAAAAGTAATAGTAAAGAAGCACGGTACCAGCTTAATGGCAACTTCTTCTCCATTCTGTAAATTCACACCTGAATCAAATTAAGCAGAATCACATATGAGTAGCTACAACTAAGAAAACATGGGTCAAATACCAGCAACGAAGTCAATAATCGAAACAAATCCAACGCAATTAAAGCCATCAAGCTAATAACATACCTAAATAAAGCTCACCAAAAGACCCACTTCCGATCTTCCTTCCCAACTTAAACTTCCCACCCACAACATGATCCATGGTAACTGAACAACTCCACTTCAAGATTTCGACAACCAAATATTTCAACAGCAACAATCACACGTTCCTATTCGAATTTCCACCCAATATAGGTAACAAAAAAAAGAACCCCAAAAATCCAAAAAAAACTTCCCGTTATGGATCAAATCCCAGAAATGGAAAACACCAATTATCGTTTTCAACTTAAAAAACTAATCTTGAGCTATGATTCTCAACTCAGAACCAATTAAGATTGTCAATAAATAAAACTCCGTTACAATTTTCAAATACCGACAAGAAATTGAAACCCTAATTTACAAAACAAAAATCACCGATCCCCATTGATCAATTTTTTTTTGCATAATCAATGTGCGAACCGATATATACATGTATTTTTGTTGATTTGGTTCAGCTTCATTTGCAGATGAAGAAAAACAGGGGACAAATTAGCGACAATTGGGGAAAAAGAGAAAAACAAAAGCAGCTTTATTTTTTTCCACGAAAAAAGGGAAAATGATTATTGACTGTAGTGAAAAGAAAAAGGAAAAAGAAATAATTGCTTGAATTAATAGTTTTGTACAACGTGCGGGTCCGAATTTGGTAAATAAACGATTGCCATTTTTTTGGTAAAATTGAGATTACTCTATAAGGTTAGAAATTTATTCACTACTTAATTTAAGGAAATAAAATCTACGTATTAACTGTTAATCGATTAAAATAAATTATTAGAAGATACGATAGCAAAAATTAATTCACCTTTATCTTGATTGAATGGTTGTTAGTTGTTACATATTATTTCATACTATATCGTTTTATATTATATTATTTTGATAAATATTGTGTTTAGATATATTGTGTCATTTCTTATTGTTAAATAATATCATACATCAATAATTTGAAGAATGATTTTTTTTTATATAAAAAGAGAGTAATAGATACATGATAAAACTAGTAGAGGATAACAAAATAAAATAAAATCATTAGATTAATGTAAGTAAAGATAAAGATGAGGAAAATTAGATAATTATGCAAACACGCTGAAATTGATCGTTATATTACGATGAATTTGATAATACAATATATAACAAGTAGTATTTGACATGACATATTGCCTTATCAGTTTTAAAATTTTAAATTTCGAACAAATGTGATATTTGATTATCAATATGATAGTGTCTTGACTTTTAAGTGATAAATAAAACTATGAAATTTTTGGTACAATTTTTTTTTAATTGTGTAACTATTTATAAAATTTATCCAACATTTGACCCATCAATTTATCAATATATTGAGGTGGATGTTTGTTTTGCTTTGGTCTTTGACCTTTTTACTTCTGCATCAAGAGATAATTAAATTTGTGTAGATTCACAATAAGATTCTAACTCATCATCATCATTAATTCTCCTCTATTTTAATCTTAATATTTTTCCTCTAGGCTATATGTGTGGAATTATTTTATTGCAGTCTTGTATTTTATATTTGTATTTATTTGGTTTAGATTTTTTAGTTGGAGTTGGTAGTCCAAAGTTTTAGACCTTTTCTAATCTTTCAATTAATAATTTATTAAAAAAATATTTAGGATTAATTGATCGTCGTGGTTGGTCCATGAAATTTCTATCCAGCTGGGAAATTGACTAGTTATCAAGTCATTCCTAGGAAAAGGAATTGTAAATGACTCATTCAATGATGCTAGCTTGTTTAATTATTATTTTTTAATCCGAGAGATAATTCGCAGCTGTTACAATCTTTGTTATAGTTTTTGCTCTTCGGATTAGGTAAATCCGCATTGTGTATACTGTTGTACATATTATAATAATTAACCATCTAATTTTGCTAATTCATTCTTTAGTCTTATTACCAATGTTTTTCTTGATCCAAGTATATATTTGATGTTCAAAGCTCATTAATTAGCTTGATTAATTGAATCCACTTTGAATAAGTTTATTAAAAAGATGGTAAAAACGTCATCTTCTCTCCTCATTAAACTGTTCTAAAATTTATGAGTTCGAACTCAAAACATCATTGGGATATGCATTATCACTTGACATCTTTGAATTCATTGAAGCTAGAGATGCAATTCTGACTTCTTTGACCCACTAGCTATTGTATACATATAATGGTCTACCTATTCCCTCCGTTTATTTTAGTTGGTTCCTATATAAAAAATAAATGTTTTGTTTTCCTTGTTTGTTTTAGCAAATTTAAGAATATTTTATTATTATTTTCTTATACTATCCTTTGTATTAAATAACTATATAAGTTAGTAGAATACACTTTAATTAAGATTTTCTTAAGAAATCTGTCAAATCAACACGGACCAAGTTATATGAAACGGAGGAATAACTAATCTGTCATTGGGAATCGGACATCAAGGAGATCATGAGCTAGAATTAGTTTCGGAAGGGGATGATAAAATGTAAGTAAATTGTAATTGCAACAAGTTTGGTAATATAATTAATTGCAGTTAGCTTTTTGTATTATATGTGTCAAGGTTCAAAAAGTTTTTTTAACCTTAGGATAAACAGCAGCCGTGTTATAACCTCTGTCACAATCTCTGCCCTCCGGGTGAGCACTTTGTGTGCACTGGATAAACCCTCCACCGTGTAATAGCATGCAAACCACACAAGAGATGTAAACCGCACTAGGCGAGCCTTATACTACAGGCTCAACGAAGGCATTGAGGGGGGATTGATCCATCATTAGTGTGGATGTCATCCGTGTGGGTAATCACCCTCTAAATCAACCGAGCCATCCCGAAGGACTGGGTTCAAAAGCTATACACAAGGAACCAGAATCTATAATTTCCCCTAAACACTAAATAATGCCACTAGACTATGGCCTATGTTACATAGTCTATATATGTAGCTAAACAATAATGTCACTATATATACTATGGCTTATGATAATTGGTACTATGTACAAGCAAGTTAGGTATGTAAATAGCAATGATGAATGGAACTATATTTTGAGCTAAGCATATACTAAACACATATTTGTATAATAATATAACTACTAAATCAGAAATGTACGTAAAAATCCTGATACAGGTCTATGAAATTCGATAACTTCTTAACTAGGAATTTTAATTGTCGATCACTAATATTTTGTTGTTGATGAGATGACATAAATAGTGAGAATTTATAAAGTTGACCCTAAATTGAGGCGTAGTATGATATATTGTTGTTGTCTAGTAACAATAGTTAGTACATTTTCAAATGAATCTTATCTAGAATTTGGAGAGGTCCATGCAGATGCAGTAAACAAACTAGTATCCTTCCACCCTAGCCTTAATGTTCCATCACCTTGTACTAGGCTATAACCATGAGCTGGTGGGAACATATTTAGTATCAATTGAGCTTGTGCCATTGAATTTGTACTCATTGGCACTTGTATGAATCCATTTTTTGATAGTTCACTTCTCCAATGCCTAAACTTATCCTCCCCATTTCTTGCTGGCCCTCCAATTGCTAATATGTTATTGATTTCTCTGTAAAGCAGGCCGTGTTCGACACTATGCCTGCTTGAATCATCACTCTCCAAGAAGGCTCCTAACGAGTCGAATATGGTTGAGTAGTAATGAAGGGATCCCACGAATCGGTCCAAGAAACTACCCCCTAGTGCTATTTCTTGTTCTACTAGTGTCACAACTCTTGGTGATAGTTGTTGGAGGAGTTTCATTGTTTTCCAATCAGGGCCAGTGGCATCATACAAAGAGTGTTGCACCCAATGTATGGCTATAGCCTCTCCCCTGCTAATTTTGAACGTGGATATGTCGATTTCCCCTGTTTTCCCCCCAATTGGATGGAACTCAAATGACATTCCAAGGCGTTTGGCGAAACTGGAAAGTTGTTTACCTGTCTCAATCAAAAGTTCCATTGATGTACCTATTCCTGTCATTGTAACATGTGGAGGCCCTTCCATACGAGTGGCGAGGATGTGAAACAAAGCCGGCCATTGTAGACCTTGCATGATGTCTACATCAATGATATGGACTCTGTCTCGACGATGGAATGCCTCAAGGATTGCTTGGTTAGAGGTGAAATGTGCAAATTTTATGAATGGTGAGATGTTGTTGAAGGCTTGAAAAGCAGTATGAACACTCTTGTAATTGATCAAAGGGGAACATATTCCTAACCATGAGTTGATGACTCTACTAGCCATTGCTTTGGCAAAATAAGCCACTACTCTTTCAGCACAAGATGGTCCATATGGTGATGCCATTTGTGTTAACTCAAGTAGCATTCTATGAGCTTCTCCCAAATTATCTACTGATATAGCAACAGCACATTCCAAAAGAAGTGTGATCAAGTTTAGTCCTTGATCATCATGAGTATTAGAGTTCCATTGATGCTGTTGTTGTTGTTGATGTTCTCCAATGTCCTCTGAAGAATTTCTTCGCGCAATTTTCTTAGGCCTTAGCTCTCCCAATAATGCAGGGGTCATTGTGCTTGTACCACTAGTCTGTAAGCCTACTTCAGTTTCATTTTCAGGCAAATCTTCAATGAGTTGCCTAGTGACTTGCTCAACCCATTGGGAAAGTTCATTTCTTTGATCAGGATTATTAGCGCGATTTTCGGTGATTAATGTCTTGGAGGGATGATTAGGGGCACAATAATCCCATTGTTCATTGGGTTGATCAAGAGGAGTATGTTGATGGATTAATTCAGACTCTCCTTTCATCATGTTTGATTACTAATACTATATGTTTATAAGATGATGAAAATAAAATTGATTGAGTAGATGAGGAGGATTAATGAAGGAGAATTAAGTTGGCTTATAATAAAATGCACAAAGAAATGGTCGTAGGTTTAGGTTATTAGTTTATGATTGAATAAATGTGGCCGGCATAATAAGACATGCAAATAAAGTTAAGATATTAAAGGACAAACCACATGACAGTTCAAATGCAGATTTTATCTTAATTAATTTTATAATTATTACATCATGCAGAGTAAATAATAATAATTCCTAATACACTCTATTGATCTGTTTCTTTTTCTCCTGACTCATCAATTAACTCTAGTACTACTATTTGTATTTGAGAGTTCCTTAATCAAAAGGACATTTTTTTTCCTTCAAAAATAACATAAAGGGAGGTCGATCGAGTTGGTTGAGCTGGGAATTGGGATCTCTCGAAAAGGAGAGATGTCAGGTTGAAAACCCTTATGTTTTCTCGATCGAACTCGTCATACGGGACTTGCCTAGTGCAGTTCACTTCTCGTGTGTGATTTACAACTATTATACTGGAGCGAAATTTATGTACTCTTTGTACACCTGAAGAATGCGACTACATGTTCCCTTGTCATTAAAAGAAAACATATAAGGGTCCCAAATCGAGGCTTAACAAGAAATGGGTGATTCACAAATCATGAAATACTGTATTATTCATAAAAATGTATCATAGTATTAGTTGTCATGTCTACGCTCAATGTGTTGGCTTTCACAAACTAGCACTAGTAAATATAGTTAACAAAAAATTAAGTTATATATGGATGATAAATTATGCATTATCGTTTTTTTAAATTAGTAATAGCATTCTATTCTCTCAAATTAATAATGCAAATGCGTGTTACTGAAATGGAAGGTACATATATATAAGTTTTTTCTTTTTTTGGTTTCCTACCCGATGTTCGATATCTGCATTGAAATTTGAAGTACGGTGATTTCGGACTATAGTGAGTAGTGCAATAATATACCATCTCACTTCAAATCTTGATATATGCATATAGAAGCAAATATTTATATATCGACATGTAAGAAAATAAAGAGGGTTGTTTTTCAATAATAGTAATATAGTGGTAGAAAAAGCTAAATAGATTTGTTATTTTCCTTATTAGAGATATATTTATGGAATAGTAAAATTAAAGCAATATTATTGAGAAAACCTAGTTGATGAGCTTGGACATCTCAACCGAAAAATGAGATTTTCTATTTAAACATAACGTTACCAACAAAATGTTTTTTTTTTGGGATCTACTATGTACATACAAATTACAAAACATGATTTTCACATGTTTGTTAAATCCTAGGATGTATCATATATTCTTTGCCAACAGTACTACGTTGTTAAAAAAAAATTCCACATCTTACAAGAAGGTAACACCTTAGGCGTCATTGGGAAGGATGCATTAGAACACTATACATATATATAATAATATCTCGGTATATCAGTCATGCAACTTTCAGACAAACGCTATATAAAGAGGGTTGACTGTAATACCTTATTTGATAGACTTTTGTAAATCTAAGGATAACTAATACGTTCGATATACGCTCTGGGTCGTTTGGCAGGATGCATAAGAAATAATCTGTATTACATAATGCATTATTGAGATATAAATAGATAGTAATAGACCTAATAGAAATAGAGGTGGATCCAAAATTTTGTGCTTATAGAGTTGAGAAGTGATTTACTGAGTTTGAAATATATATCGTTTATACCTATTTACGGTCCAAACGAACAAGTACTGACTGCACTGGTTATCAAATACTGGATCCGCGTCTGGTTACTAAAGGCCACAAACTGAACCAGTCATTTCATAGTACTCTGGTATGTTTCAAAGCAAGTGAAGAAAGAACAAGTAATAGAGAGACGGATCAAAGTTGTCATTCATGACCTATATATCTTAATCAAAAGACGAGGACTGTTGCAAGCAAATTCTAACAATATTAGTTTCATATCCAACATAACAATTTTCTTTGATATCAGCCTAAATACTTACATCCCTGATCAAATAGCCACTAACCAACTGCCAAAACTTTGCTAACAACAGTTCAACAAGCTCTCTATATATCATGGAGGCATGAGATTTACAAAGCTTCCTTGGGATTTCTGAGAATTACTTGACTCTGATCCTTCCGACTCGTCCTCTGTTGAAAAACAAAGCAGAAATAGAAGACAAAACTGAGTTCTTGACATAGAGGAAAAGGATACTGTAGCCAAAAGTATCATTCAAGATGAAGCTAATTTATTTCTTTCTGAATCGGTATTATCAAAATCAAGAATTAAATAGAAGGAAGTATGATAAATACTCTCTTCGAAAGATGAGGAAAAGGCATAAACTAAAATAACAAAAGACCAATGATTCTCTCAAGATACAACCAATATAGGACTTCAATCATTTAACACCCCCATGTATAAAACTGTTGAGTTTGACACAGATAACTATAGTATTTCATTCCAAAGCATCGACTCTATCAGACAAGAACCAAAACAAACACACGGGAACAATCAACCGAAATACATTCCTAAATAAAGAGATGGGATAGGTAAGTATTACCAAATAGTGCTTTGATTGTTGGCCTCTTTGACTTGGTATTCTTCTTCTTCAGTTCAGCTGCAGAAAAAAATGAGACCTAAAAGTCAGTTGACTTTCACAGAGCAATGAAGAACCGCCACAAAGGAAAAAACTTTGTCCAAAGTACTTGCATCAACTTTTCACAAGGAACACCAGATTCCTCAATATTCCTGTACTCAAAGGGCTTCAGCTTCTTTAAGTACCGTAATTTCAAGTTTGGTTCATTGACATAGTAATAAGAAAGAAAAAGGCAGAGAACATAGCAACTAGAAGAAGCTAACAAATGAGGTCTGGCTATTTAATGCATCTTAAATTTAATACCCACTATGCTATAGTGCTTTAAAATCATGAAGTTGGATCTGATCTTAGCTTACAAAAATGAGATCGAACTCTAAAAACAATATTACAACCTAGAGATATCCAGGAGGTCCATGCATGCAGAAGCATGAACTAATTCAAGAAGACCCATCCATGTAAAAAAAAGAATGAAAATGCTGCATCAGCAGTTGTCTAAAAATATCATAACAAAACATCTTATATCTTATGAATCATATTTTCTCCAGTTTAACACTCTAGTTGCTTCACCATGTCACAGTCCCTCTGGACTTCATGAGAGAGAGAGAGAGAGAGAGAGATACCCATTCCAGACACTTGATAATCATTCACGATTTCAAAGTTTTTGTATGTATAACCCACAAAGTTGATGTCCTTCGATGAGAGCATCTGCAAAAAATTTAGGTAAGAATGAGATAAGGAGGGAATTGACAAAGGTGAAGGAACTGTAGGGTCCAACAAATAATGAATACGACAATAAAAATAACGAGAACAGAAAACCTCAGGATCACCATGAAAAACAAACAAGAGAAGTCCAAATGCAGACATTTCTAAAGTGGGAATCACTGTTACGGTACGCCTAAATATCCAACCATGTAATGTAGCATCTATTTGGGAGCCCTAACGTATATCTGGAAAAAGAAAAGACTTTCTCCCTCAATCAGTTTGACTTGCTACTCTATCCTTTCTGACCTTAATCCAGTTTCAGCAGCAACACTATGCAACTTCAAGTTGCCCAAATATTTGCACACTTACATCACTATTCAACTCGTCAGTGAAGTCCTGCCAAGACTTCAATAAAAAGGTATAACTACCACGCACAGCTTGAGAACTTTGCAACAGTCCAATATAGACATGGCTCGGACATGTCTGCTACACTGTTGAAAGCATCTGAACTTCTCTTCACTGTTCTGGTAAGCACGAGTATTCCCCATAGGAAAAGGTGTCTCTAGCAAGTTTACATTAAAGTTTCTAAACAGTTCTCCGTTTAATTTTTTGTAATTGCAACGAACATAGATTGCAAAACTTTTTAAGACAAAGGGCTCCAAAGTTAAAGGAAGAAACAAGGGGAAGATGGAGAACGGACAATTCAAGTACTACTACAGAAAAACCAACCTTATTGTTCATCAATGATAATTTACACTAGGACAAGGGTTATTTGGGAATATCTCGTCTGAAACTTCAGCAAGCCTTTATGCGTGCCATGTCTATAATTATCACTAAAATTGCAGTAGAAGAGTCATACTCATCAACCCTGTGTTAGATGCCCTCCACTCTTACATGATGTCCTTATTTCCAATCCCAGCAAGTGTTATTAAAAGACTAGACAACATTAGAAGATCTTTCTTGTGGCAAGGAAATAAGGAGAAGAAAGGTTTCTATTTGGTGAAATGGAAGGCATTAACAGTGAGTAAGAAGAAGGAGGGGGGCAGACTGGGACTCAGAGATCTGAAGTTCCAGAACAAGGCTTTAAAAATAAAATGGCTTTGGAGATGACACAAGAAGACCAAATGTGTCATGAGTGGCACCCGTACATAACCTCCTAGGTGGGCGAACCAACAAATTCAACCCCAACTTATATTTATTGTTCAACTTACGAAATACAAACCATAATGCAGAAGCTCAAATCTTATTAATGTAAGAAACACAAATCCACTAAAGTCTATTAAATATCGTTAACCAAAACCTGAAAGTCATCATATCAAGGACATCTAATCTCCAAATACTAAGAGTATCAAAGACAAAAATAAATGAATAAAGTAGTTTGTGTCCGAAAACCGAGGACATCAATGCCATGACCGAGAGAATCCAACACGAGCTCAAACGAATAGCTCACCCTAAAACTTGATGTGTTGGAGATTCGCTAGAGCTGAGGGCGAGTCTAAGTCGCTAGTACACTCCACAAAAGGAAAACAAAGAAAAACACAAGTAGGAATCAGTGCAGGACAACATGTACTGAGTAGATATCATTAGTCAACTCAAAATAGAAATTAATATGCATAAAGTAATAATATAAAATCAACTATAGCACTTAGCAAGTGCCAAGCAACA